ACGATGACGCTATTTTCAAACAACACAAGCCTTTATTAAGTTATCAGAAGGCTTCATCGTTATATTAATAATTTATGATTTTGATGAGTTCCTCATAATCATCCTGGTTTTTGAATTTCTGTTTAAAAGTCGGTAAAAGTTATGTAAGGCTTAATCTCTATATCACAAATGAATAATTATAAGTTGGCTGTCATATTTTTCGGCTTTTTATATTCTTTTTTTATTATTTATTATTATTATTATATTATAATTTTATTATATTATTATTTTATTATAATTATATTATTTTATTATTATTACGTTATAATTATATTATCATTATTATATAAATATTTAATAATATTTTTCATATTTTTCGCAAAGCTAAGATCGAAGCGCAATTTCTTAAAATGAAAATTTACAAATTTTCCATATTTTTCGCTATTAAAATAGAAATAAATAATTATATTGACTTAATCAAATTTCTTTCGCCGATTCCTGGCCGTAAAATATTTTCTTCTACGATGTTTCGGTGACCACCACTGGCGTTAAAAGTTTAGCTTATATAGCAGTGCTTTACGCATAACTGTGGTGTTTTTTTTTTAATTTTATGAATTCATAATCAAAAAGTTTTTTTGGATAAATAAATAAAAAACTTTATTAATAACAATATTCATATATATTGTTCAAACACTAAACAAATATTTCAGTTTTTATGTATAACTGTCTGAATGAAATGATAATTGTCTATTGTTGAAATATATCAACGACAAAAAAATTGCGTGTGCGTGTGTGCGTGTGTGTGCGTGTGCGTGCGTGTGTGTGTGTACACGTATATAACAATAAATTTTCAATTATAGTCAGGAAAACATTACAAGATATTACCGAGAGTAAATCTACCGTCGGAGGATTTTTACAGAGAGAAAGGAAGTCACAAGTTCATGTCTGCTGGGGGTTAGTTGGCTGGTTGGTTGGTCAGTCGGTCAGTCGGCTGGTCATCAACATCATTATCATCATCCACAATATTTTTACATTCTTCGCCATCCCCATCTTTAACACCATCATCATCAAAATCAGTATCATCACTCGTCACCTTTAACCTCTAAACTGAATCATTTTTTTGTAACATTTTTTTCCATACAAATAACAACTGACTCATCCACATGCCAAAAACTCAACACACACACACATTCGCATACATACACACACACATACACACACACACATACACATTCGCATACATACACACACACATGCATACACACACACGCACACGAACAAAACGTTATACTTGATAACCAAGGCAACCACTGCCGCAGCCAATCACATTTAAGAACGAGTTTTGACAGGATTAAAAGTGCACCGGAAACAGCGGATAACAACAATTTGCACTCCTCAATGGTTTGCTTCTTTAATCTTGATAAAATAAAATAATAATAGAAACATTCTTTTATTGACCGAAAAGATAAAATCTAATCAACTAACCAACCATTCAACCAACCAAAGAAACAAAAAACCAACCAGCCAACCAATCAATCAATCACCCAACTAACCTAATAGCTCTTTTCGTCCTACAATCCCAAAACTGCACCGTGTTATCCCAACGCCTAAAAGATAAGAATAACAATAAACCAAATAATAATGGGAACATTCTTTTATTGACCGAAAAGATAAAATCCAAATGAAATCAATCGAAAATTATCAATCATATATCAGAGTGTAAATAAATAAGATGTAGAATATAATGTACGGTCCTCTCATGCTCTCTGATCAACAAGTGCTTGAGAGTAAAAAATATATTTAAAATCGGTTAAGTAGTGTTTCTGTCACAATAATAATAATAATAATAATAATAATAATAATAATAATGATAATAATAATAATAATAATAATATTGTTAATAATAATAATAATGATGATGCGAATTATAATGGGATCAATAATAAATAATAATAAGAAAATGAGTGAAATAAAAAGACGAAAGAAAAAAAACCGTCTAACAACCGTCTAACAACCGTCTAACAAACCGTCTAACAACCGTCTAACAAACACTACGCAGTAGCCACAAACGCCAATGCAGTCACCGCGCGTTGAAACTGAGACGTTCTACAGCAGCAGCATCATAACTCCAACAGCTCAATTGAAATACTCAAACCAATAAGTGAACAATTGAGACGATTTTAACTTGAAATTGTTGGGAAGTCTTAACGAAAATCAATGTACAAATAATGAAGAAACAAAAATATTTAAAAAAGATAGAAAATGTTTCATGTGTTCGCATTTACAATTAAGCACATACACACACACATACACACACACACATACACACACACACATACACACACACCACACAAACACATACACACATTAAGCATTGCTAAAATACGATCAAGTTCAGAAGTACACGCGGTTTTGAACAAAAATAAGCCATTCGCATTAACACACATACAAACACACACACGCACACACTAACAGTACCGACAATCTACCTACCATTCGATGATGTCATCGGCCAGAAATAAGTACCCCCCCTGGATCGGTTCATCCCCCTACAACTGGCCAATCCCTATGCCACATAATGACATTCTGAAAGTATAAAAAACTGTGTGGTGTGTCTGTGTGTGTGTTTGTTTGTGTGTGCGTGTATGTGTGTAATATTTATAATAATGATAAAAGTATAATTATAATATTTATCACGATGATAAAATAATAAAAAATTTTATTACATAGTAATATTAACAAATTACGAACGATATACAGGTAAGAATATCGGGTGGTGGTCACAAGTGCACTGGCTACCTGACCTACAACACCCTGCCGGCTATCAAGAGGGGGCACGATGGCAGTCCCTGTAGAAATGAGGTTACTGCAAACAGCATCCCATTCATTTTCTACAATTCTCTCTTTAATGTTTTTCAAAGGTATCAACAACAGACACACAGTGCATCTAAATAGAAGTTTATCGACCGATTGCACATGTTGCATGTGATCAGCTGGGTTTTCTTTGCTTTTGAATCCAGTCACTGTAACAGCAGTGCCAAAGATATTAACCCCGTCGCTTTTTTACAAAAATCTTTACAAAAAGTTTTTTAAAACATCTTTCGATACACAACGTCATTGTATGTTAAATTATTTTTTCTAGTTTCCGTAACAATTTACTTTTCCATTTTATTAAGCTGAAAATGTCAAAGAAAAACATTTATTCTATAATAATTGTAAGTAGAACAAGACTCTGTTCAGAATCGTTTCTGAAATTTTTTTAAATTATTGAAAAATCTCCTTGCTTGAGTCTGTTAATTTAAATTAAATTCATGAATGTAATCAAATTGAGATTTGTTAATGATGGAGAGAACACCAGGTAGGCTTGTGATACAAACATGCTGTGATTATTTATCATATGCTGCTATTTATTATTAGACAGTGATTGTGTCAACATTTCCCTCGTTACAAAAAAACATGACCAGATTCAGGTAAGCGGGACATTACAAATAATTCCAAAGACCAACAATCTCCACAACAGACCAACCAACAGCAATGCCCACAACAACACAAACAACAACAACAACAAACCATGTTACGTCACAATGCGTTACTATGGGGATGCTATCCAGTTGTCAAACTCTTGGATGGTTAGGAGAGATGAGGTTGTCGTTGAGCAACAACACTGTGGTGGAAGTACAATCACCGTTTTTAAGGATAAACTCTGCCCCGGATGTATGTCCTTTGTGTTGTTTGTGTTGTTGTTTATGTGAAAAAATACATAACATTTCTAAAATGATAACCGTTTCTAAAAAAAACAAATTAATCAAAGCACACGAATTCAAAATAAAAAACATCAAAACGAAGAAAACAAAAAAAAAGCCTAACAAATCACCACATTAAACAAAAACCAAAACCCTCCAAAAAAATTCTCTTTTCCCTGCAGCTGACTTCACTTTTGTGTCCACTCGTCACAGCGACTACCCCTTCAGCCTCACCATCTACGTGGACTATAAGCAGAACACCAGGGTCAGTGTCTGCTGTGAGGCTAAGCATCGAAAAGGCGTTCGACTCGGTGGAAACAGTGGAATGTTTGGTATCGTTTCGGTTAGAAATCCGAGATTTTGCGAAAAGTTAGTTTTGGGTCGGTTGATGTTTTATTGTTTTGCTGAATTGGTACAGTGCTTTTCTCGAGTCGACAAGTAACTCGTTGTTAATTTGGGCGGCTGGATTTGCAAGTTAAAGAATAATAAAAAAAAGAATGACATAATTTGAATTGTGATAGTGAGTAAGAGCGTGATGAATATGGCGATGTCATAAGAATGACGACGAATATTATCATATGATAATTTATTTGGGATAAGAATTGTCTTAGAATGGTGATCAGTGGTAATCCTAATAACGTTTTTGGTAAATATGATTGTGATGGTTTGACTGATTAGACTGGCGTTGAAAGTCTGTTAGATGCTTATAATAGTGAAATTTACAAGACAAATTGATAAAATCTCATATTTTAAAGTGAAAAAAGTAGTCTCTCAAAATGATCACAACCGCCAATACAGTTTTCATTTCATTTGAAAGTAAATAAGCACCATTGTCGGTCTCGTCATCTCCATTTCACTCACCATCATTGCATTCATCTTCATTGTAAACTTACTCAGAATCTTAAACCTCTTCACCATGACAACTTCATCATTTTCATGACACGCAACAGGTGCAGCGAGACTAGGAAGCGACGGAAGTTGGAGAAAAAAATGAAGCGAAAGAACAAAACAAAGAATGACGTGGACAACAAAGAAGACGAAGAGAACAACAACAACGATGACGATATTGATGACGTCATCACGGCCATGAAAGATATTCACGACGACGACGATGAGGATGATGCTCAGGCGCGCGACAAACATACCGATGACGATGACGAAGTGAAGGTCAAAAACAAGACCAAAAAACCTAAATTGAAAAAAAAGAAAAAAATTATCGCTAAAGAGGAACCAGCTTACGACGACGATTTTGAAAAGGAGAGCGATGATGAAAGTGGGGAAATGAAAGATGGCGATGCCATGCCATCAAGCAACCGCGATGTCTATTCTGTTTTGGTTAAAAGTGAATCTTCGACTCAGCGTAAAAATGAGAACACTAGAGATGACCAAGATAACGACAATGATAGTGACAAAGAGGCAACCAAAAACGGCGAAAAAGAAGAAGATGCAGAATTAAGCGACAACCAGACACAAAAGTTGCCTAGAAAAAAGGTCAAGAGTCCGCCGACTGAGAGAAAATTGTCCAAAAAAAATTCAAATATCAACAAACGTGAAATTCAAAGTGATGACGATGATGTAACTCCAGAACATGCAAAAGTCAGACGAAGCCTGTCCAAGAAACAATCCAATGCTACAAATAAGACTCTCAGCTCTGACAAAATAAAAACAAACCCTGAATCGAATAAAGAATTGTCTAAAAAGGAGAAGATGAATAAGCTTGAGAAGAAAGAAGAACACCCAAAATTAGAAAAAAGAAAATCTAAAATGTTGCTGAAAAATAAATCTTCGTCAATGAAAAATGAAACCAGACTGGTGAAATTAAATGAAAACGAAGAAGACACAAAAATGAACGATGACGCCATTAAAAAAGACAGCTCTAGAGATCAACGAAGCATTCAAAAATCATCAAGTGTCAGATCTACAAAAAGTGAAATTTTGCAGAGCGATCGGAGTTCGATTAGCAAAAATAGCCAGCGAAGTATCAAAAAAGTGAAATCGAGAAACCCTTTCGAAGACAGCCAAAGACATCAACTAAATAAAACACCAACTGAACCTAATATAGTGGAAGATGACCAAGATGAGCAAGAGGATTCTGAAAACAAATCTGACCGAGAATTCCATGCTGACCCAGAAAATCTGGATGATCGGGAAGAAGAGTTACAAGAAAAAGAAGCTTACGAGAAAAAGTTGAAAGACACAGCGAGGCAGTGCGTCATGGACGTTTACCGAAGCTTGGAAACCTCCATGCTAGATGACGATGACGTCAACAATAACACCCACGAAGCAAATGATAAGAGTGATTAGTAAGATGGAATATAGATCTCTATATCTTTTCGATAATAAGACAATGTGATAATCTGTGCAGGGACAATTTAGTGAGACAGTGTTTTATATGTATATAGATGGTCGTGGCTTTGTTGCATCAGAGTTTTTGTCTGTCTAGAGTTTTATCAACAAACATAACACAAATTGAAAACACGCCTCTTTATCTACAACTACTCTAGTGAGCGCGCATAATTTTCATTATCCAAAAGAGAGAAAAAACGTGATAATACAATAGAAATTATATAATTTTTAAAAACTTTAACAGAAAAAAAAACTGAAATGAACGCAAAATTTTGAATGAAGAAGCGTAGATAATCACCCGGCGAACAGGTAGGTATGTGCTCGTAGTAGATGTATTGAGGCGTGCGTAGAAAGCGCAGGTGTCAGAGGCAGCTAGCTAATTGCCGTACATGTAGTTTGAATCATGTAGAATTGTAGTAGCGTGTAGCCATTCGAGATGGAATATTTAATTGGAGAAGGGAAAAACTATTTTAATTATTTAAATTTTTGTAATAATCAGCAGCGAGGAATGCGTGGAGAAAATTGCACACGTGTACAAAATTTGTTTAATTATTATTGTTATTATCTATTTATCTTAATTTTAGATAATTTTCTTAGGAAACATTAAAATATGTATTTATGTCAGGCGTGTGTGTTTGCATGCACCCAATTTGCCTTTTGTGGGTAAAACACACTTGAAACAAAAATATTTTCTGCAGATAAGTATCATCATCATAAGCTTATATCTTCTGTCACAAATATTTAATGAAAAAAGAGTAATTTTTTAATTTGATGTAATTTATTATCGTATTTGGCATCTTCTCGTTATTTATTCTTAAATTTCAATAAATATATCTTTTATTTCAACGTGCATATAATAGCTATGTGACAATTTGATCTTTTTTTTGAATGATATAAGTTCAGTTTAAATAAATTGAAAAAAAATAATAAAATGATGACGATGATGATTTTAATAGATATTCTTGACTCAGTATTGTTCTAAATTAATTTCAGTTCTACAGTGGATTGTCTTTACCTTAGAACAGTGCAAATAATTTGTTGAATATATATATATATATATACATATACATACATTACATACAAGTAATTATTCGAATATATATATATATATATATATATATATATATATATATATACATACATTATATACCTACCACTTAACAAATATCTTTTTACAAGTTTGATTCAAACAAGTCGAAAAGTTTCTTTTGTAGGTACTATATTTAAAACTTGTAATGAACATTACATTCGTACATATTGATATACATTATATTTATACATATAATTCTCCATACCATATACACAACCACGCAAAATTTTATTTATTTTTCACAAATATTAAAATCATTTTTTTTATTATATTGTTCCTGCAAATTTAACATTCTACAGGGTTTTCACATGAAGCACCGACAAACAAAATCTCTCAGATATTTTTTGTTGAAATCTTCGTTGCGAATACAAATTTGTGCCCCAAAGATTATATATCTACACGACACGCCAGAGCTTGAAAAAATAAATTGAAACGAAACAAGAAAGATAAAAATATTGCGGATTGGAAAAAAACCATCATTTATATATTATTAATTAAGGAGTGATAATCTGTTTGAGAATTATTATTACAAAAAACCCCGTCGGGAAACAAAAGTCAAAACTGAAAAAAGAATGGAAAATCCGATTAGAACAAAATCTGAGCAGTGAAAGAGACGGATGCCAACATTAAGCCAGGTGAACAAGATATTATGTTCGTACGAGATATATTTACCTGTAGAACCTTGTATCGCAGTTTTAGATGGGGTTCATTCCAAGCGTGACTACCAAAACCGCAGTTACCGCAAACCTTTACGGAAAACTTTCGGGGATCTCAAGGTTTTTTTAAGATATAATATCATTAAAATAAATTTCTTCAATTTAGTAAATCCGGACCCTTTCATCACGCTGAAGTTGAATTGAATTGATCAATTCCCAGTCGGCATAAGCGATGCTGTTCATGAATTAAATTTCTTCTCAACTCATTAACAACTAACACCATCATTTCATTGAATAATTTTTAATATAAAAAAGCACGATGTAGACATAAAATATTTCACCTGAACTAAACTCAACGACCATTCTTGAAAAATGTGAACGGTTAAAAATGTTAATATTGAAAGCAGTGTTAGTTTTCTAAGAATCTAAAATTGCGGACGTCAAGAAGAAAAACTAAACCATGTTTAAAAAAATAAAATAATGCATATGATAGAATGGCTGTAGGTAGCAAAAACTATTATAACGAAATTAAACTGTTAAGTTTATTATGAAAGCAGCGACAAGCTGAGTGAACATGCAGTTGTTAACCAAAAGTGGGAACATGATCAAAATAAAAATTAAATGAATACACAAATATATCCATATATATATTATGTATACAATACACCATAAAATATAAATATATGTATGTATGTATATATATATGTATGTATGTGTGTTACATTCATAAATATGAAAACAGTAAACAAAATGTAAGCTCATAAAGCCTAAATAAATTTGTAAAACTTCGGTCACATCTCAAAACAAAGTCTCATTTAAAATAAAAATATTCATTTATATAAACAAATGTATGCAAAAGATCGAAGAAACGTATGACATAATGAAAAAACAGAGAATTTCGTAAATTAAATTTAAATCACAGAGCTCATGTTCAAACAATTATCAATGTCCAGTTGGTTCGAAAAAAATTTCATCTGAAAGCAAAGTTTTAAAATACTCTTTTTAAAACAAGAATAATAGTCAATAGAAATTCAAAACAGAACGATCAACAATTAAAGAAGTGATCCATTCAAATTGACATTTAAAATAGTTTTGTTTTCAACCGAAGCAGGTTAGCCGAATATCAAAACATGAAACTCATGGCTTCATAAACTTTCCAATGAAGAGGACAGCTCCTGAATGGTTATCCTTGATGAAAAAGATGAACGGATGATCAACTCGGACTACCTCAGGTTCCATAGGGATGACTGCGCAACGCAACTCAAAGACTACACCGGTGGCTGCAGCTGCTTCAGAACCTTCCTCATTCACCTCCACAAAAGCTTTGTGAATCACCTTTGACACATACAGTTCTTTTGTTCCATCTATCTTTGACAAATCTGCTCTACTGTCGCTGAACAAATCAATGATACCTAACTGCTTCAAAACATCATTAGCTTCAAAGCTTGTCTCTAGTTTGAACCTGGGAAGCCAGAGTTGGACTTCCCTCGAGTAAAGATGCTGTGAAACATTGAACAGCTCATCCCCATTCAATTTTTTCTCTACATCAGATAAACTTGTCTTATTCAGGTCTGGCAAGATGACAATGAAACTCAAAGATTTGCCGACATAAGGTAGTTCAAGTACCTGGCAATTAAGTTCTTCATAGAAACTATACCTCAATTTTTTCTTGTGAAAGTGCATCATTGGGACTTTAACTTTGTTTGTCTTACTGATGAAGAAATCTTCTTCCTTCGTATCCTTGATGTTGAACTTTTCATTCCAATCCCCTTTGAAGTAGATGGCGTTGATGAGGATGAGTCGAGTGAGGGGGTTGAGGATTCCAGGTGCAATCAAGTTTTTTATTTTCTGGTTGGTTTGTTCTTCTACCCATTCATTGATCTTCAGTGCACATTCATCAGGATTGCTTCTGTTAGGATTTAAATAAATTTTATTAATCTACCAATGAAATCCAGCAATAATTTATCAAATGAATTCTTCTCTGAACCAATTATTTTAGAGCATTTGCAATAAATGAATAAAACAATTAAGAGCAAACATTTATAAAAAAATTTTTGAATTAGTAATTATTTCTAAAAAAAGTATAAAAAAAATAGTTACTTAAAATCAACTGGCTCTAATTCAGCACCATAAAAACTATTACACTGTTGCAGAAAGTCCTGGAGAAAATTATAACTTTTCTCACCATACAATTTGTTTGCCATGTGCAACTTGTAGACTCCTTTCGTGTCCAATAAGTTGTTTCTCAGCTCTTTGAACAGTGGGTGTAAGTTTTTTTCATTCACTCTGTCAAACCTCAAAGCTGATTTCAATTCCTCTTCAGTTTTGCCTGAGTGGTTGTGATAAATACATTTTACATACTTTTACTTATTTACTAATTATGAAAAATGTTTCAAGTATTAATCCCAACAAAATAGAGATAGATCAGATCGATAAGTGATACAGATACAAATGAGATAGGATGGGCTATCATCATCATTCATTATCTATGTATTATAGTACCATAGAACATAGAAGAGATAGATATAGCCCACAGACAATAGAACATAGAAAAGATTGACTGATAGATATACAGCTCAGATAGACATTACTTATTAGATAGGGTTGATTGATGATAGGCCACACTAGAAAAACAATTAGATTACACATATAGTCAGAACTTTTCAAGAAAGAAAATGTAATATTCATTAATAATTATATATTATTAAAAAGTTAATTTTTTAGTAATACCAACAGCCTCTATTCCTATTATAGTATAACTATAATTATGATAAAAAATAATATTTTGCCAAATAGAAACTGATTGTTACCAAGCTTACTTACCACTGGCCCCCAAATACGTCATGGCAAGTGCGAAAGAAATGCTGATCGGCGAATAGAACAAATTAGCGTCCGGGTGAGTTGCGGCTAATTTGCCATACAAGTCCAATGCGAATTCAGCATTCAACGAGCTGATCTGATTCAGTTCGGCCATTTTTCTTGTTGTTTAAAAAAATCAGTTTAATAACTCCAAGTGCTTTAAGTGCTTCTATCGGCACTTGAAATAATAAGGCAAACTCAATGGCGGACACCTGTCTGTAGCCAAAGACTACAAATGTTGTTTAAATATTTCAAGAACAAAGCCTTAATACAGTAACCTGTAACCTATTCTACCATATACAACAAATTTTCCAATCCTTCACTATACTATTCCAGCTCAGAGCACAACTAAACGTTCAATCGTTATAAACCACAAATATTAAAACCTACACATCGTTCAGCCAGAATCGGAAAGTATTAAAAAACACGGAACCATCCAATCAGTTGAGTTCGCAGATATGTCGTCACAACATAGCGCCATTCAACCAACATATGGGTTAAGTATTGTAGAATAATGTTAATCGGTACATCGTTACCATCTCCCTATTCATAAAAATATCATCATAACCAACATTACATTCCCAAAACATCATCCTAACCATCACCATTCATAAAAACATCATAACCATCATCACATTCTTAAAACATCATCATAACCATCATCACATTCATAAACATCATCATATTCAAAAATAACATCAAAACCATCACATTCATAAAAACATCGTTACCATTACTATCATATTTATAAAAACATCGTTATCACCATCACATTTATAAAAAAATCATTATCATCATCATCACATACATAAGAACATAACCATCTTCACCAACACATTCATAAAGACATCATAACCATCATCACATTCAAAAATAACATCACAACCATCATTCATAAAAAAATCGTTATCATCATCACATTCATAAAAACATCGTCATCATCACCATCACATTCATAAAACCATCTTCACCATTTTCATCATCACATTCATAAAAACATCATAACCATCACACATTCATAAAAACATCGTCATAACCATCATTACATTACATTCATAAAAACATCATCACATTCATAAAAACAGTAAAAAAATTGATGAAAAGAAACTTAAAAATGTAGCCAGTAAAAAAATTCATAAGAAACTTAAAAATGCTTAACTTAAAGAAGGCTTCCGGAAATAATAAACCTAGGCAGTTTATTCCAAAACTTCATCATATTAATCAAAGGGCTGAATAGTTTGAGTAGGGATGTAAAGTGAGGAGTCGTTAATTTTTAGAAGGAATGAGTAGAAAATGTCGAATGTAAAGTATAGATGAGATTTATGCGAATACAGCGACTTATGGAAGAAAGTTTAGTAATAAGTCTAAAGTTGGTTGGTTGGTTGGTAGTTCAAATCTTACCTACGACAAAGTAATGGCTTACACTAACAAATTTCCAAAGATTATGTGATGTTCTTTAGAAAGATTTTTTTAGGACTTGATTGTTAACATTCATAAATCCATTATCATGATCATCAAATCCATAAAAACATCCTAATCATCATATTCATAAATGCATCGTAGCTATCATTATCATATCCATAAAAAAAATCAGATTCATCTACACCACCATCACATTATAATCATCATCACATTCATAAATAAATCATCAAAACTAAAACACCCTCACACTCATAAAAATATAACATAATTATCTTCACCACCACCACATTCATAAAAATATCAAAATAATCATCACCAGATTCATAAAAATATCACCATATTCACTCATCACATTCCATAAAACATCGTAATCATCACATCCATAAAAAACATAACCATCACATC